ACAACATGAATGACATGAAATGATTCATAATTGCAATTGTCAAAATTTATTCTACAAAATCTTTGTGGCGACATCTATAGACTCTTTCCCCAACTTGTATATCCATCTCAAGTCACGTGGTTCCCAGTGTCCCCATATTTTCAAGTATAAGTTCTCGGGCCCTGATTCAAACTTGCTTCATTTAGCCGTTAGAAGTCGTCAGTCATTTTAGTTTTTTTTCCCGTCTTACTAGTTTGTCATTTGTCAAATAAATTTTGGTATGCCAGTACTGTATTTACAGAAATTTGCCCGTCGTTAATTGAATTTGTTTTTTTTATAGAAGACCTTTTGGTTTTTGTAACAAAGGGCTTTTTTCGAGTTTTTCCTCTCTATCTTCCTAACATTTTGGTATTCCCAACGGTTTTTGGTAATTTTCATTTCTTATTAGTTATAATCAATGCATTTTTTTATACAAAACTGAATTTAATCGTCACCAAATAAAATGCCTTGAGAAATTCGCAATATTTTATAGTATAAAAATCGATTCATTTCCCTCAATCTGGAGAATTGTTATTGTCATATTCTTTGAGATTTGAGATGAACTAAATAACAATTCAATAAAAATATTGTTTATTTTATAATGTGCAGGTAGAAAATCGAAAAAAAATAGAATGTTTTTTTTATTAAATCATATTTCAGAGAAAATGCTGACCACTTGAAGGCTGACAAAAATGAATAAACACAACAGAACAAAGTTATTATTTTTTACTATCTATAATCCCTTGTCCATTTCCACTTATCGTATTTAATCAACTATTTATGTGATTAGTATTTGTTTCGCAATCACACTATTTGTACATTTGAATATTTTTTGTTTCCATTGACACTAACAAAATGGGTTTATCACTGAAAATATCACAGTTGTACGTCTTGTTTGTGCACGACGTCTTCATTCTGTCTCAAAATAACGGAAGTTTTGAAGTCACAAAGGGTACATTTGTTAATTTGTACTCCACAAGTGTCGCGCCTCAGCTGCCGACACAGGTGCGTCGTTTCGACATCACACATTTCGCACAACGTTACAACCTCCCAAGCACCCTCGTGCTTCAACAGATGTTCCAGAAGTTTGCCCATATCCTTGTTCTCGTAACTGCAGACCTCACATTTATGTGGCTGTGCTCCTGGGTAGTCCGACTTGGTCTGATAAACGCATTCATTACGTATGTACATTGGCGCTGCTAAAGTTTTATTTTCTAAATTGTAGCAAGGAATATGATGCTTGACGTCGAGTACGGTCGAAGGAATTTTATGTACCGCCATATGAATTTTAAGACCCCTTTTATACTCGGTTGCAAAACGGCAAACATGACATCTGTACATTTGTCCTACCGGGGGAATTTCGTGCTGCAACATATGATGTTTAAGGTCCTTTTTATACTTGACTTCATAACTACACACGTCGCACTTGTGCAGTGGTGCTATAGAAAGCTTCCCCCGCCGTGATCGGCGACTCCGACGTGAAGTCTTGTAGTTTAGTTCGTGCTCGGGTCTGGAGATACAAACTTCTGTAGAACTATCGTGTCTTAGCCGGTGGGAATTGAAGCTGGCCTTGGTGTTAGTCTTGTAATCGCACATGACACACTGGTACACTTGCGCAGGCGAAGGAGCCTTATGTTTGAGGTCACTCGGATTTTCAGTCTGATAAACGCAGCTGCGCGATTTGTACATTTGCCCTTGTGTAGGAGTTCTGTGTTCCAACAGGTGACGTTCGAAATCTGACTTGTGCTGGGTCTCATAGTTGCAACTATCGAATTTGTACATTTGTGCTGGTGTAGGTACTACATGTTCCAACATGTGTTGTTCCAGAATTGTCTTATACTGCGTCTTGAAACTGCAAATGTAACATTGGAATATTTGTGCATAAGGAAGATTCGAATGCTGCAATTGGTGACTTGGAATTTCCATATTATTCTTGTGTGTGTGTACTTTTAATTCTGAAAGTTGTGTGTGTTTCACGTAATGAAGGTTAAAGCTGGATTTGCTGTTTGTTTCATAGTCGCACACATTACATGGGTACATCTGCGTTTTGAATCCGAACCTTAGCTGATGCTTAAGAAAGAATTTCCGGTTTATATTTTCGTATTCACAGATGTAATGTCCATTTACTTCCGAACCGTTCTTATGCGTAGTGCAATGCTCATTGAAGTGGCTCTTACAAACTGTTTTGTAGTCGCATTTGTCACATGCATGCATTTTTATCCGATATACTTTCAAATTGATTTGCTGACCGATTTCCATATAACATTTGTAACTCTTGGATCCTTTCTTATGTTTAGAAATGTATGTAATTTGATAAGTATCGTTTTCCGCTTCATTCGAATTTGATACAAACATGTCACTGGAAAAATTGCATTGAATGAATAAGGATGTAAAGTACTTACGAGTTAATATAAGATAGTTCTTTCTTACCTCTTGTCTTCATCTTCTTCCGATTTGATGTCGATACATTCATTTTTGATGGACATTTCAATATAATTTATTTCCGTTGCTTTGTCTAAATTATCGGTCTCACTGAGAAAATCCATTGATGTGTCTATTTTGATGTCTGCAGCTGTACTATCAGGAATATTTTCAGTTTCTACCTTTACTTTTAGACAATCTTTTAGAACACTGTTGTGAGCATACGCAAAATCGCAACATGGTTTACATACAACAGGATCTTTGACGATGGCCATATTCTGCAAAAATATTTATATTTTATATTTTAATGACATTTTATTTCTTATTGCTCAGAATATATACCATTTCTGGAAGAAATTTCTGAATGACAGCGACTTCCTCTTCTCGAATGCATCTAAATTCATTTTTTACTGTCTGCTTACAGAACCGACATACTTTCTGATCGTTCGAAATACCCATTAGTTGTTCACTGTTCATTTCCTTCATATACGTGTCTCTTAGGTCAAACATGATTTAAAGTCTAATGCTGCATTTAACTTCTCATTGCAAACGTTGCATATTACGTGTTCGTTCTTGTCACCAAATTCCTGAAATTTACATTTATAAAGCAAAAATTAAATCATTAAGAAAGTTATAGTTCAGCAACAATTGGAAAAGGTAGGTGCCCTAGAAAAAGCACTTCGGACTGACATACCAATTTAATCGAAAGATAAATTAGAATTTTTTTAGTAACATTGTCTATTACTTCGAAACTTGTTTCTGTTATAGTTTTAAGGCAAAACTTACATGTAGTTTCCTTAAAACTAGTCAAGTTTTCTTTTAAATACGATTATTACGATTTGACAAATGACATTTGGGAAATTAACCTGAGTCCTGAAGCATCAGTGTTCTTCTTCTTCTTCTATTATAGGACGACATCCACTATCTAAATTAAATCTACATACCTGACACACGCACTTTGGAACTGGCTAAAGCACAGCAAACTTAAGCAACATTTTAAAGAAGAAGATGATGATTTTAATTGAGGTTGTGGATTAATTCGTTGCTGTCATTGTACTTGACAGAATTTATTTATTACGGCTGTTTTTAAAAGAAAATTGTGGCAATGACCGACTTTAAGAACTTTGCATGTAGGCTTTGCCTCAAAACTATTACAAATACAAACTTTGAAATAATAGACGACGATATTAGAAACATTCTAAGTGCCCTTCTACTAGAGTTGGTGAGTCGGTGAAGAAATTAGCATAACTCTTACAGTGCTTGGTGTGCAAACATATAATACTTAATCCCTTTATTCTTCCATTACTTTCTGCTTTCTGACGATGTATATATTTCAGAAACGTTTTGAGAACAAGGAGTTAATATGTAACGCTTGCAATAAGAAATTAAATGCAGCCTTCGACTTTAAATCAATGTGTAGGAATACCAATAAAACAGTTATTTCAAATAAGGATTGCGAGAATATGTTACAGCTCGACTTAGGAGCAGTTTATATGAAAGAAAAGGCAAGCGATCAGTTAATGGATATTTCATGCGATCAAAAGGTATGTGGACTGTGTATGCAGTTAGTAAAAAGTGAATTTAGATGCATACGCGAAGAGGAACTCGAAGCTATTCAGAAATTCGTCCCAGAAATGGTATGAACGATAATATATTGGAAATGTCTGTATTTTTGTCATTATTTTTTAAAATTTTGTAGGTTATAAAGGTTATTAAAGGTCCTGTTGTATGTAAACCGTGCTTTGATTCTCTGTGCACACACAACAGCTTTCTAAAGGATTGTTTAGAAGTAGAAGAAAAAATTAGAAGCACTTGTGACAGTTCAGCCCTGGAGAGTCAATCGCCATCTGACTTATTCGTTAAGATTGAACAGTTGGGTGAACTGTGTGAAACAGACGAGACGGAAATGTCCATCAAAACTGAATGCATCGAGATAAAACCGGAACTAGATGAAGAAGACGGGTAAGGGAGGACTATTTTTATATAAGTACCGCATCAAATTTGTTATTAAAAATTAATTCACTTGTTATAAATTATTTACCTTTTATTAGGGTTATGTAACACTTTTCCCACCATCTTGGAGGTAGAAGCTTACAGTTCGATTTTTTTAGGCACGCAACGCCTGAGAACAGTGCGTCTAGAGACTTGCGAGAGGTCGCAGATAAATCGAAACACGACAGCGGATTAGTGAAAAAAACTAAAAGATCCAGAAGCAAGAGCACACCGAACCAGGTACCGTACAAATGCGGCAAATGCGTTTACGAAACCAAAAGTGAGAGCCGTTTCACGGCACATTACGCGAGACATATAAAAGCTTCAGCCGAATATAAGAAGTCGCTTCATATGCAGCTGCTGCAGCGCGTAGAACCTCCCGCCCCCCCACCACAAAGCTACAAATGCGACTATTGCAATTTCGAAACAAAATACAAGTGCAGCGTCAACAGGCACCAATTAATAGTGCACGAAAAATCCCTGGAGGTACGCTCGTACAAGTGCAGTGAGTGCGATTTCGAAACGAGGAATAAATACAATCTCACTAAGCACCTGTCGACGCACGACAGTATCTCGCGAGCGCAAAAGAGCGAGTACAAGTGCGAATCGTGCGATTACAAAACAAACCATAAGTTTGCCTTCAAGAGGCATCAACAGAAACACGTAAGTTCTGCCGAAGCGCAAAACACCGATTCTAGCCCTCAGAATCACCAGCTAGAACACGAAGAGACTTCGATAGTCACGGTGTATTCGTGCAACGACTGCCATTATAAAACGAAACATAGGGAGTGCCTCGTACGTCACATGGTGACACATCGCGACTCGTCAGTTGTGCGAATGTTCTCGTGCAACGACTGTGATTATAAAACCAAACACAAGGACTGTCTCAAACGTCACATGGTGCAACACAAGGACCTGACGCGGGTGCAAATGTACAAGTGCGACGCCTGCGACTACGAATCGAGGCACAAGATGAACCTGACACGCCACCTGACGACGCACAAGGATCCCTCGCAGCTCCGGATGTACAAGTGCAACGACTGCGACTACGAAACCACAAAAAGGGTGAACATCAAGTATCACGTGTTCAAGCACAGAGACCCGTCGCGCCTGCCAATGTACAAGTGCCACCTTTGCGACTACCAAGCGCAGCACAAGATAAACTATAACGGTCACATGCTGATGCACAAGGACGCGTCGCAGGTGCAAATGTTCCGGTGCGACTTGTGCGATTTCGAGACGAAGTACAGGAGGTCCTTGGGGCAGCACAAGCTGATTCACGAGGATAGTTCCGACGTGCCGACGTACTCATGCAAGTCATGCAACTTCCAGACGAAGTACAAGCGTAACCTGATAAGTCACGAACAGATCCACAGCAAGAAAGTACAGATGTATAAGTGCGACAAGTGCGATTTCGAGACGAGGCACAAGATCTATCTTCCGAGGCATCGGCAGAGACACGACAACCCCGAGGCGGACAGCCGCTAACGCATCGGTGGGTTGGTTCTAAGTTTCTTTGTGAATTTTATGCCGTTTTGGAGCATCGGTGTAGGTCCTAGTTGCAAAAGTGCAAATGAACTAAAATCAATTAAAAAAATCGACCTAATAAAAAAAGGACAATATTGCCATGTCAAGTTTTCATGTTTTTTTTTTGTTTTTTCATGGGCTTAAACCCAATTTTAAGTTTAACAAAAAAAACTTGTAATAATTAAAATATTAATTTAAAATCTTATAAAAAATATCTTAAAAGTGCATTGTAGTTAAATTAATAAAACAATAAAAAAGAGGAGTGCAAGTACTACGAAATGTCTATCGACAAGTTTTGAGTGTGATATGTAACCTACAAACTGTTGTTATATCTTAAAATGTCATTGCAACTTGGTGCCTACTGGCACAAATCATTACTTTGTACCTACCGGCTATCTGATCTCGATTCTGGATCGCACTAAATGACGTCACGAATTAGCGCAGCAATTTGTGCCCGGCAAACTAATCGGTTATTATTAACTAACAAAATATCTAAAAAAATGTATGTAATGTACATATTTAATACTGGTTGAGGTCTTAGAGTAGTTGTTTTCTAAAATATCATTATTGTGAAGTTTATTTTGCTTAGCAGGGCACTAGTTTTGTTTTCGTATACCTATTAATCTATAGGTCACTCTACCAGTAGGTACAAAGTAATGTTTTGTCTCGGTAGGCATTAACTTACAGTGACATTTAAGATATAACATATTTTGTAGGTTATACTCAGAAATTTTCTTATTTTTACGGATAGTGTTTATAAAACATTTTGTCTCCATCTGTATTATGCTATATTATCTTGGGAATTTTATTGGAAACAAATAAAATACTGTCTACACCAGCATATTCAGTAATGAAATGATTAGCCCAGAATTAATGTAACAAGTTCTGTGCCTCCTCTACGAACTTCACTTTTTTTTTCACGAACTACTATTAGATAAAATACTTTAAATTATTATGTAAATTATATTTGCATATTATGTATATGTATTCAAACGTGTTAGCTTTTAAAATAGATGCACCTGGCCAAATACTGTATTTCTTATATTTCATCTTTTTCTTTCTTGAAACGAATGTAAACATTTATTAAATATATAGTCATTTGCTTATTTTTATTTAAAATAATATATCGTTTGTAGTTTATATGGATAAATTATTATTATATACCTATTAATTATATGCCGATTATTTGTAACCTCTTCCAAAAAACAGCACACACTGCATACTCTGGCATTCTTAAAGGTCATTCAACTCTAAAGTAATTTCTGTGTACTATGCTGAAACTTCTCCGAATGGTATACCTTAACTTTAAAAATTGATTTGCTTATTCTCTTACTTTTCTCAGTGCATTGAAGAAAATAAATTGCTATTTCCACTTAACAAAGATATGTTTTGAAGGAATTTCACGTTTATGGTCCCACAAAAAGACATTTACTAAATGTTATTTTTACGTAAATACAAATATTCTTCGTTTTAATGTTATTCTTACCATTTACTAGGCACAACAGAAACCTATTTGAATAATCATATTTTAAGAACGTACATTTATAAATTTACACTATACTTCTCTAATCTAGGATTCACACCATTCGTATTTCGTAGTATTTCTTACGTTGCGTTTGTTTCCGAGTACCGTGGTAGGTACGTTCCTTTGCGCCAAGCAACTGTTTCAGTTCAGATTGAATAACATGTTACTAACTTATACCCCAGATTAATGTTTGAATTAATCTGGGGTAGTAGAGTTGTTGGACGCTCCACCTCCAAGACGTGGGCACGTTTCAAATTGAAGTTATCTGGCCAAGAACACGTTCGTCCACAGTGCACCTAGCTTCTGTAAAAGGAAATTCGGCATCCAAAAAGGAAAGCACAGCTTCCAGGATGGATCCACAAGACAACAGCCTCTGGAAAACGCAGAGGGCCCTGCGACAGACCGCTCACCGTAAAATTCCTCCAATCCACGGTAGTGTGGGGGTGGTTTACACGAGCCAGGAAAAGGCTGCGGCTTTCGCCGATAGTCTGGAACTGCAGTGTAGACTGCCTCAGCTGCCCGACGAAGACGAGGAATTCGAGATAGTGGCTGAGCGCGCGGCCCGACGCGTNACGTTTATGGTCCCACAAAAAGACATTTACTAAATGTTATTTTTACGTAAATACAAATATTCTTCGTTTTAATGTTATTCTTATCATTTACTAGGCACAACAGAAACCTATTTGAATAATCATATTTTAAGAACGTACATTTATAAATTTACACCATTCATAGTATTTCTTATGTTATTTCCCTCAATCTAATGGTTGAATTACCTATAGCTAAATGGCATTTTGTCCGTATTAATAATTATGCCCTGATGGGATCTTATTTTTCACTTAAGTTTTCTTCTAATAAGGGTTACGGGTTTAATTTTTATTAGTTTAGATTTCACATTTTTATTACATAAATTTCAAGTTAGATATATTTATATATTGGTATATTCAGAGTGGCCCAACCTGTCCCAGTTACCCTGAAATGAAAAAGATTTAAAATTAATTCTGTTAGCCAACGTAAAGAGAGATGTATCGTACCTACTACCTTATTCATTCCTGTGTCCACTTTAAAAATAATCCAAATATTTGTTTTAACAATTAAAGTTCCTTATTTTAGTTATAGTTGGAGCAACAGATTTATTATTAGTCCATTTTCTGGTTATTAAACCCAGGAATTGTATCATGATTTGTTGAGGTTAGGTATTCTTGAAATATATTTCAGGTTGATCCATGTTTATATCTGAAAAATCCCATTATCACTTATTCACTGAATCCACCCCCGTTCAGTGCGAACAGCCGAGCTGAGCGGACGTGCTTGTTTGTGAGGTGAAGTGATTGCAACGAGCAAAATCT